AGATAGATAGATAGATAGATAGATAGATAGATAGATAGATAGATAGATAGATAGATAGATAGAGATAGAGAGATAGAGATAGAGATAGAGATAGAGATAGAAGATAGAATTATTATCATCAAATCAAAAAGATTTACTTTCCTTGAACATATCTAATTTTTATACTGCATGTAAAATTAGACACTGCCCATCAGTAAGTCCACTGCCAATTATAGTATCCCCATTCTGTTTTGTGAATTTATGCTGAATTTATTTTTACTGTGTTTTATTTTGAATTCTTGTCTGTCACCATAATAAACTCTGTCTATCCCTCCCATCCCAGTAATATAACTAGTCATTCAGAAATGTATGATTAGCTTAAACTGACTTTTTTTTAGAAATGGGAATCCAATGCAGTTGTTTAAATTTTCATTGTTGGCTGCTTGGATGATTTTTGCAACCTTCCAATAATTTGGGTGACTTTTCTCTTTCATGGAAAAGAAGCCAATTAGCATAATTGTCATGTATTAATTCTTATAACTCTGTTAATAATGCCTCTAAACGCCAGATCTTTGGATATATGAAACAGTGGCCTTTTTCTCTGCTGCTTTAGCTTGATTTGAAACTTGCACATGAGTGGTTTGCTATCTCTTCCACTGTTTCCTTGGCCTCGTCTTTGCCATTAAAACTGAACTTTTCAAATATATCACTAAGAAAGACTTTGATTATAGCAAGTACTACAGAAGAGTCAATTATGTAGATGTCATTTGGTTACTAGAAGACAGCAATGAAAATAAATCAATGGATTGCCAACCTTAATAAATAATTTTCTTGCTTTATTTTGATTTTTTAGCCAAACTACTTGAATAGAACAGAACAAAACAGAATAGAATTATGTGTTTAGCAGAGTGATGGCACGGGAAGAAAAACTATCTTTGTGTCTAGTTGTTTTGGCATGCAATGCTCTATTATAGTAGCATCCTGATGGAAGACGTCAACATAGATTATGTCCAGGATGTGAGGGGTCTGTAGATATTTTCTCTGCCCTCTTTCTGGTCCATGCAGTATACAGATTCTCAATTGAAGGCAGGCTGGTTGGAATTCTTTTTTATGTAGTCCTAACTATCCGTTAAAGTCTGTACCTGTCCTGTTTGGTTGCTATACCAGATACTTACAGGCAGCACATCTAGCTTGCATGTTCTACTGAAACTTAGAAACTTATGGTGATTCCCAGTCACAAGCAGTTGAATGGATATGGAATGGAGGCTCATTGGCACTGCTGTGGAATAATTTCCCATGAGGAATCAAGTTGGCCGTTATAGCTTTGGCTGTCTTGAAAGTTTTGAAAATAAAGTTGCTCCATAGAGTCTAGGGTGAATAATAGGATGTATGATTTATGATCTTTATGATCTTGAATTACTGAGGTCAGGATTTTGTTTATTATTTTATTTTAGATTTTACCATGGATGTTTTACTTTTGGTGCTCGTCCCCATCCTTATAACTACTGTGGAATGCTAAGAGAATGTTTGGATTGTGAAAGATATAAATTTCATAAGGAAATCTCTAAAATGTCCTATTCTGAAACAG